CATGCTTGGTACTCTATTTTTGTGTCTTGCATGTTAGTGTGTTTGTTTCATTTTGAGTTTTTGTGTTGTGTTGAAAGTCATATGAATTTTGTGATCTATTTCTGCATTGTTGTTGCAAGATTTTCTACATCATTTTCTTCATTCAAGTGCTACAATTTTTCAATTACTCACTTTCAATTTTCTGCACTTATTTTGCTGCATATTACTCTGGTTTTCTGCACTTTTGCTGCATAATTCTGCAGAGAGATTTCAAACTGTTCTTGTTATTTCATTTACTCAATTTGCTTTCAATTTAGTTAGTTGATATCTAGTGCATGACCCGATCAAACCTTGGGGATTTGTATCCATTAGACTAGGAGATTGATAGGATTTTTCATAGGAACATTAGGACACATAGGGATCACTCTGAACACTTTGAACCATCATCATCTCCTACTGCATCTTTGCAATCTGTGACACCAATTTCTATTTACTCTTCTACATTTTCACTTGACTCTAGTTTTGGAGCAATGGCAGGTGATGAGAGGACTCTTAAGGAGCTAGTTGCACCGGATGTCACATACCAAACATTGTGCATCCAATATCCAGATGTGGACGCCCCTTTTGTTTTGAAAACTGGATTAATTCACCTTCTACCTAAATTCCATGGTTTTGCAGGTGAAGACCCTCACAAACACTTGAAGGAGTTTCATATTGTTTGCTCCACCATGCGACCTCAAGGTGTCCCAGAGGAGCATGTCAAATTGAAGGCCTTCCCTTTCTCATTAATGGACACTGCAAAGGACTGGTTGTACTACCTTCCACCGGGATCAATAACAAGTTGGGACAACCTCAAAAGACTCTTTCTAGAGAAGTTCTTTCCGGCCTCCCGAGCTGCATCCATAAGAAAGGAGATTTGTGGAATTAGGCAGCTAGAAAGAGAAACTCTCTATGAATACTGGGAGAGGTTTAAAAGACTATGTGCCAGCTGCCCCCACCACCAAATTAGCAATCAATTGCTGATCCAATACTTCTATGAGGGATTACACCCAATGGATAGGAGTATGATCGATGCAGCGAGTGAAGGAGCCTTGGTAGACAAGACCCCTGTGGCAGCCAGGAACTTGATAGAAAACATGGCTATCAACTCCCAACAATTTGTAACTAGACAGAATTCCTATGTTACTAGAGGTGTGCATGAAATTCAAGCTACAAAACCAAACAAATTGGAGCACAAGATTGATGAGCTTGCCTCTATGGTAAAGCAATTAGCTGCAATGCAAAAGAGTGCTGTCTCTGCAACACCTCGACCACCAATTCCAGCTACGCTTTGCGGAATATGCTCAGCTTTGGATCATTACACAGACAGGTGCCCTACATTGCAGGAGTCAGACACTCCGGAAGGTAACCCCCAAGCCTATGCTGCAAACATTTACACTAACAAATTTCCTTTTCAGCAACTGCAGCAACAACCAAATTGGGATCTTTCTTCAAACCGGTATAACCCGTGCTGGAGAAATCATCCAAACTTGAGGTGGGGAGGAAATTTTAACCAGCAAAATCTGCAAAGCAACAACTACCAAGCTGGTCAAGGTAGGCCACATCAGCCACGCCAATGGGATGATCAACAACATGGGCAATAGTCACACCAACAGCAGCAAGCGTCCTCATCCCAAGCCTCTTCCTGTCAGAAGAATGAGCCTTCATTGGAGGAGCTTGTGAAGTAGATGGCCATGAGCAACACTAATTTTCAACAGCAAACAGAGGCCAGTATCAGAACAATTGAGAACCAGATGGGACAGTTGGCTTCCTCTATAAATCAAATTCAGTCCCAAGGTTCAGGCAACCTCTCAGCACAGACAGTCACAAACCCAAAGAATGTTAGTGCAATTACTCTGCGGTCTGGGAAGGTAATGCAAGAGCCTGAAATTCCTAGGGGAAAAGGAGATCTCACGCCTCTTGGTTGATGAAAAGGAGGAAGAAAATGCACCCACCACTCAAGAAGTGGTAGAAGAAGCTGAAAGGGCAATTCCACCACCTTTTCCTCAAAGGGTTATGATCACCAAACCAAGTAAGAAAGCTGAGGAGAGTGACAAAGAAATCTTGGACACCTTTAGAAAGGTTAAGGTAAATATACCCTTGCTGGAGGCAATTAAATAAATACCCAAGTACGCCAAGTTCTTAAAAGATTTGTGTACATATAGAAGGCGTCTGAAGGGTAATAAGAGGGTCAACATGGATAGGAATGTTTCTGCACTTTTTGAGAAACAGAGAACCACAATGCCTGAGAAGTGTAAAGACCCAGGAACATTTACTATTCCATGCATCATTGGTAATAATAGGATAGACAATGCAATGTTAGATCTAGGAGCATCCATTAATGTTATGCCATTGTCTATTTTTTCTTCTCTATCTCTTGGTCCCTTGCAGCCCACAGGTGTAGTAATTCAGTTGGCCAATAGAAGCACAACACATTCAGCTGGACTTGTTGAAAATGTGTTAGTGAAGTTGAATGACCTCATATTCCTAGCTGACTTCTACATCCTTGACATGCAAGAAGAAGAGTCACTCAAAAGTTTTGCACCGATCATTTTGGGAAGACCGTTCTTGAAGACTGTAAGAACGAAGACTGATGTACATGCCGGTTCACTCACCATGGAATTCGGTGAGAACATTGTGCGCTTCAACATATTGGATGCCATGAAACATCCGATTGAAGAACATTCTGTCTTCCATATTGATGTATTTGATGCATTAGTGGATGAGAGCTGGACCGAAATTTTGAGAAATTCTTTCCTTAATTTTTCCCATTGTGTAGATGCTTTTGTTTGTGAATCATATGAAAATTCTTTGTATGATACTTGTGCTGAAAATTCTGATTATTTGAATGAAAGTTCTGAAATTTTTAGTGTTGATGAAGTTGATAATTGATGTTCCATCAATTTATTGAGATTTTCAGAGTATAAAGACATCCAAAACCCTTTGAAAAGTTATTTTGAGTAGTCTTTTTCTTTGTCTTCATTAGTTGTTTATGTTATTGCATTTTCTAAATGTTTTGCTGGAATTATGAGCGCTCAGGCGCTAATCTCCACCGCCCAAGCGGAAGGTGGAATTTACTGGTTTTATTCTGCTCTCAGGTAACCTGCAGCCTAGGCTCCCAAATCGCAACGCCTAAGCACCCATGGCGTGCTGTGCTCTCTGGTGACCTGCAGCCTAAGCGCCCAAATCGCAACACCTAGGCGCCCACGAATGCTGTCACATAAATTTTCATATAAATAGAAGGAAAGAAAAGGATTAGGGGGGATTGAAGCAAGGGCGAACTCAAGAGAAAACGGAGGAAAAGAGCTTGGAGCTACGAGACAACTTGGGAACAAGAGGAAGAGGAGAGATTGAAGATTCATCTTTCCAATTCTTGGTTCTTTATGGAATTTCCTACAATTTTCTTCTTTGTTCTTCATAGAATGAGTTGCTAAACTCCATAGCTAAGGGAAAGGATTAGGTCTGAGATGGGTGTATTGAGATTGGATTTCTAAGGTTTTGATATTGGATTTCTTGGATTAATTGTTCGTCTTTTGATTATATATGCAAGAATCATGAGTTTTTGTTCATGAGTGGATTAGGGTTCTTATATGATTTGGAAAAATTATGTATGAATTAGCTCAAAAGATGAACTACATGAATTTCAAGGTTTAGGAATATTTCTTGAATTTTGTGTGATATTTGGATTGATTTAGTGCTTCATCTATATTTGTATTGAGATATAGTCAAGGAATTGTCATATTTTTCCATAAGTAAAGAATGGATTCACCAAGGATTTGGGGTTCATTCACTTGAAATCCTTTCATTAATCTAAGATTTTCAATTCAAGTGTTTAGAAATTCAACACGGATTAAGAAAAACTCAGACCATCATAACCTCTAGTGTTTTAAATCTTGAGATCACTCTTTACTTGTTGAAGGCAATATTTATTCTATTATAAATCTCTATTTTGTTTTAATTTCAATTGTAGAGCTTTCTTCGATTCAAATAGTTGATATTGTCTAACTAGAAATTTGATTAGTGAAGTATTGTTTGATAAGTCAATCCTTGTGGGACGATACCCACTTACCGTGGTATTTACCTAAAACGATTTGGTGCACTTGCCGAATAGTTATGAAGTTTTTGGCGCCGTTGCCAGGGATTGAATGTTATCAACAATATTAGTAGCTGAGAAAATTTTTAATTTAGACACTTAATGTTGTATAGAAAATAGCCTTTACTTTTATTTTACTTTCTTTTTTTTCTATTCTATGTAGTTTTCTTTTTGTTATTTGATAACATTGTTCTCATAACTGTTTAGTTTCTTGTATGCGAGGTACTATTAATTCAGATTCTCTGCAATTTGATCCAGAAATTGAGAAGACAGCAAGGAGACTTAGGAAAAAAGCTAAGGCAAGAAAGCAAATAGAAAAAGACACAGAAACGACTGAAGAGAATGACAATCAGAATGTCAGGAGAACACTAGGAGAATATGCCACACCTAGTGCTGATGGGTGTAGATCTAGCATTACAAGACCTCCAATTCAAGCTAATAATTTTGAGTTGAAGCCTGCACTCCTACATTTAATTCAACAGGAACAGTTTGGGGGAGGACCGTTAGATGATCCTAATTTGCACATAGCAAATTTTCTACAACTTTGTGACACTTTCAGAGTTAACGGGGTTAGTTCAGATGCTATTCGACTAAGACTCTTCCCATTTTCACTTAGAGATAAGGCAACAGTGTGGCTCCGGTCTCAACCTCAAGGGAGCATTCTACATGGGATGATTTAGTCAACAAATTTCTTAGGAAATTTTTCCCACCTCAGAAGCTGGCAAAGTTGAGGAATGAAATTAACACCTTCGCTCAGAAGGATGGAGAGTCACTTTATGATGCATGAGAGCGATTCAAGGAGTTGTTGAGAAAATGTCCACATCATGCCCTTCCTGACTGGCTTCAAATTCAGACATTCTATGATGGGTTGGTATCATTTGTTAGATCAATGGTAGATGCAACCTCTGGAGGATCATTGCATAGTAAAACCTCAGAGGAAGCTCTCCAATTGATTGAGACCATGGCTGCAAATAATTTTATGTCCTCAAATGAGAGGTCAATAGGGAGAAAGGGTATTATGGAGTTAGAGACACTAGATGCCATACTTGCTCAAAACAAACTTATGTCTAAACAATTGACTAATCTCAACAAACAGTTTGGGCAATTGCAGGTTGGAGCTATAGGTTCTCAACTTTTAGTATGTGACTTTTGTGGTGGTAAACATGAAAATGGAGAATGTGAAGCTGGTACATCAACTCAGTTATTTGTTGAGCAGGTAAATTACACGGGAAATCCTCCAAGGCAACAAAATAACCCCTTTTCTAACACATATAATCCAGGGTGGAGGAGTAATCCTAATTTTTCCTGGAGTAATCAAAGGGCTCAGAAGAATTTTAATGCTCCATTTCAAGCTCTAGTAGCCCAGCCACCTACTCAACCAAAACCATCTGCATTGGAAGTTGCTTTAGAAAAGTTATCTCAATCAACAACAAGTTTTGTGCAGCAGACCTCTAGTTTCATGCAAGAAATAAGAGCTAATTTTAAAAATCAAGAAGCTTCAATTAGAAATTTGGAGAGTCAAGTTGGGCAAATTGCAAAACAGTTGGCAGAAAAACCACCAGGAACATTTCCCAGCAATACTGAGCCAAATCCTAAGAAGCATTGTAAGGCAATCACTTTGAGAAGTGGCAAGACATTGGAAGTACAGCCTAGAGAGAGCAAGGAGGAGGAAATTAAGAGTCCTCAAATGGAGGATAAAGTTGACGTTGAAGATCTTTCATTTGAGATTTCAAATAAATTTCAAGAGCAGGGGAAGCAACAATTTAGTGAGTCTTCCAAAGGAAAGAAGAAAGTTGTAGATTGGGACAAAACTGTTGAATTGTCCCCATATGCTAAAGTTCCTTTTCCACAGAGACTTCAGCAGCAGAATCAAGACAAACAATTTTCTAAGTTTTTGGAAGTGTTTAAAAAATTACAGATTAACATTCCATTTGCTGAAGCCTTGGAGCAAATGTCATTGTATGCCAAGTTTATTAAAGGTTTGCTTTCAAGGAAGAGGAAATTGAAGGAAGATGAAACTGTGATGCTTACTGAAGAGTGTAGTGCTATCATTCAAAGGAAATTACCTCAAAAGCTGAAAGACCCAGGTAACTTCCACATTCCTTGCACTATTGGTAGTTTGACCATTGGTAGAGCATTGTGTGACCTTGGGGCTAGCATCAATTTGATGCCATTATCCATCATACATAAACTAAAAATTAAGGAAGTGAAGTCTACCATGATTTCATTATAACTAGCTAATCGGTCTATCAAGTTTCCATATGGGATAGTTGATGTGTTAGTCAAAGTTGACAAATTTATTTTCCCTGCGGATTTTGTGGTGTTAGATATGGAAGAGGATTCTGAGATGCCCCTAATTCTAGGATGACCATTTCTGGCAACAGGTAGGGCATTGATCGATGTTCAACAAGGAGAGCTTGTATTACGAGTGCATGATGAGAAAGTAATTTTTAATATGTTTGAAGCCATGAAGCATCCAGTGGAGAAAGAGCATTGCTTGAAAATTGATGTAATTGACCCATTGATAAGAAAAGCTTTTAATAAAGAAGCTTTATCATGTCCTCTTGAAGCAGCTCTAGTGAATTCAAAGATGTTAAGTGATGAGGATAGAGATAAGCTAGAAGTTGTTGAGTGTGTGAAATTGCTGGAAGCTTTGCCACCAATCATGAATTTAAAGGAGAAGGAAGACTTACACTTGATGAAAGAAGTCAAGAAAGAAGAGCCCCCAAAGCTTGAATTGAAGCCTTTGCCTTCAACTCTCAAATATGCATTTCTTGGAGGTAAAAATTCTTATCCTGTGATTATTAGTGCATTCTTGAGTGAATTAGAGGAAGAAAAATTATTAAGAGTGTTGAGAGAACATAAGACTGCTATTGGTTGGACTATTAGTGACTTGAAGGGGATAAGTCCAACTATGTGTATGCATAAGATTCTATTGGAGGAAGATAGTAAGCCAGTTGTGCAACCCCAGAGAAGGTTAAATCCAACAATGAAGGAGGTGGTTTTAAAAGACGTGTTGAAATTGTGGGATGCAGGAATTATCTACCCTATTTCTGATAGTTCATGGGTAAGTCCAGTTCAAGTTGTACCAAAGAAGGGTGACATCACAGTAGTGTCTAATGAAACAATGAGCTGATACCTACAAGGACAGTTACAGGCTGGAGGATGTGCGTAGATTACCGCAGGCTGAATGCAGTAACTAGAAAAGATCATTTCCCCTTACCATTCATTGATCAAATGTTGGAAAGGTTAGCTGGGCATGCCTAATATTGTTTCTTGGATGGATATTCAGGTTATATTCAGATTGTGGTGGATCCTGCAAATCAAGAGAAGACGACATTTACTTGTCCATATGGTGTTTTTGCTTATCGGAGAATGTCTTTTGGATTGTACAATGCCCCAGCAACGTTTCAAAGGTGCATGCTTTCTATTTTCTCTGATATGGTAGAAAAATTCATTGAGATATTTATGGATGACTTCTCTGTTTTTGGTAGTTCTTATGATGCATGTTTTGGAAGTGGAGTTGTTTGATGTTTGGGGGATAGACTTCACGGGTCCTTTCCCTTCATCATACCCTAATCAATATATTCTTGTTGCTGTGGATTATGTGTCCAAGTGGGTGGAAGCTATTCCATCACCCACTAATGATGCCAAGGTAGTTGTGAATTTTCTGAGAAAGAAGATTTTCACAAGATTTGGAGTTCCAAGAGCACTTATTAGTGATGGAGGGAGTCATTTCTGTAACAAACAAATTGAGGCATTACTATAGAAATATGGAGTCAAGCACAAGATAGCTACCCCATACCATCCTCAAACAAGTGGTCAAGTTGAGGTGCCTAACAGGGAGTTAAAAAGAATTCTTGAAAAGATGGTTAGTGCATCAAGGAAAGATTGGGCAAGGAAAATTGAGGATGCACTTTGGGCTTATATGACAATTTTTAAAACTCTTATAGGAATGTCTCCATATCAATTGGTGTTTGGAAAATCCTGCCACTTGCCCGTAGAGTTAGAACATAAGGCTTTTTGGGCAATAAAATTTCTGAATTTTGATGTTAAAGCTGTCAATGAAAAAAGACTTCTCCAACTTAATGAACTTGAGGAATTCTGACACCAAGCTTATGAAAATGCTCGCTTGTACAAGGAAAAGACAAAGAAATGGCATGATAAGAAAATTTCTTTCACGCTTTTTGAAGCAGGACAACAGGTGTTACTATTTAATTCAAGATTAAAGTTGTTTCCTGGGAAGTTGAAGACAAGATGGTCTGGGCCATTTGTAATAACCAAGGTTTCTCCGTTTAATGCTGTGGAGTTACTTGAACCAACATCTGGAAGAAAATTCACAGTAAATGGTCATAGGTTGAAGCATTATTTTGGAGGGGAGGTTGATAGGCAGAGGTCAACCTTACCATTATCATGAAGAAGTGCAACACGTCAAGCTTATGACGTTAAAAAAGCGCTTTATTGGGAGGCAACCCAATCTTTAGTATCCTTTGTTTCAATTTGTTTTGTTTTTCCTTGTTTTATTTTAGTTAGTTTAGTTCAATTTTTTATTTATTACAAAAAAATAAAAAAAAATGGCCCAAGTCTTTTTATGGACTGCCCAAGCGCTAACTGCACGAGAAAATTGAAGTGGTCTCAGGGTGTCTAGTGCCTAGGCTTTATTATTCACTGCTTGAGCTCTTATTGAAAAAAAATGGATTGTAGTTTCTGGTGGTTCACCGCTCAGGTGCTAAACCTTTCCGCCTAGGCGTTTACTGCGTAAGAGAAAAAGAGAGGCTTTCAGGTAACTCAGCGCTTAGGCGCTATATTCGTACAGCTCAGGCGCTTCGACAAGTGATATTTTAAATGAAATTGGGTCAGATGGTGCAGTCTATAACATTTTTTTTTCTTTCGTTTCTTTTCTCCTCTGTGTTTTAACAACCCTTTTTTCAACTCTCCCCTTAATCCATTTAACCATAGCCAAAGAATTGACTTCACCATCTATAAACCTCTTCCATTCTTGTTCTAAAAGAAAAAAAAAAAAACCCTCCTTTTTCTTTATTTCTTACAGAGTGCCAACCAATGGTTTGGAAAATTAAATAATTTTAGGGTTTCAGCATTGTGTTGTGTGGGTCACGAAGTGAGGTAATTTTCCTTTTATCTTGTTTGATTTAATTTCTTTTTGCAAGCATATAGATTGAACGAATAGTTCTTAAATGCTAGGGTTTGTGAATTGGGAGAAAGTAAGAAATTAGAAAAATAGGTATCTTTGGAGGTGGATTTTTGTTTTACATTGTGTTTGATGATAGGAAAGATTCATTTTGGCATTGTTGTTGCATGGTAGTCATAGAATCAATATGTTGGATGAGTGAAGACTAGGTGTTTGAAGAAATGACAATGTGAAGATGTGAAACTGAATGTGTTGATGTGACCTTGAGCTAGTTAGTATGATTTGTATTTTTGAAAATTTCTGATTAATAGGATGTTATTGAAGTTAATTGCTGATATTGAATTTAGATTATTCATGATGATTGCAAACTATTTGAGAAAAAGTACTGAACATGAGTGGAATAATTGGTATTCTTGAAGTTTGCCATGATTAAAATGCTGATGTGTTAGTGTTAATGCTGATTTGGTGAGTTAAAGTTGAAAAAAAAAGAGAAAGAAAATTTTGAATTTGACATGCTTTGAGTTTTTGAGAATTCATAATTATCTCAATTTATTTGTTAGGTGTTTTGAAGCAAGGAACTCCAACAAGCTTTTCCAAGTGATAAATTTCATGCCTCCAAGAAAGAAAAGGGCTGTTAGCAAGGCTGGCTCTAGCTCAGCAAATGATTTTGATCAAGATCGTTTCAAATCCCGTGCACATGAAGAACGGTTCAATAATGTATTATTGACTCAAACCTTGGTGCGAGAAAGAGGATTCAGTCTTCAAGAAGGAGAGTACCCTGAAATTCAAAATCAAATTAGAAGAAGGAATTGGACAGCTTTATGTGCGAGTCCTCAATCGGGAAAGATGAATTTGGTACGGGAATTTTATGCCAATGCATATGTGGTGTCTAATGATGAGACAGAGCAAAGTGAAGAAAGTGAATTCAAGAGTTTTGTCCGAGGGAGAGAGATTGATTTCAGTCCACAAGCTATTGACACTTTCTTTGGCATTGGATATCAAAACCCATATTGTAGTTATGAGCACAGAATGGAACATGAACAAAGATGTGCTGATGTATTAAGCGATTTGTGTAAGGAAGGCGCACACTGGGAATTGGATGCACATGGAAATCCTTTGTCTCTACGGAAAGCTGATTTAACCCCAGTTCCTCGAGCTTGGTGCACATTTGTTCAATCTAGACTTATCACAAAGTTAAATCACTTAGAAGTGCGCATGGAACAAGCCATCCTTATTCATTGTATAATTAGAGGTTCACAAATTGATGTAGGGAACCTAATTGCTTCAAAGATACATGAAATGGCTCAAGCATCATCTGGTAGTCTGGGATATCCAAGTTTAATTACACAATTGTGTAGAAGAGCAGGAATTAATATTGAAAGAGATATTCCAGTCTTACCAGAGCGACCAATTACTGCAGCCACTATAGCCCAGGAGATTCAGAGACCCCGAACTCAAACCCAGCTTGGTTCTAGTAGGCCAAGGTGTTCTCTCACCACAGCATAAAGGTTAGAGCAATTGGAAAACCATCAAAGGTTAAGCATTCGTCAAAATCAATATCTCATCCGTGCTGTCCAAGGATTAGAAGTAATGGTAAGACGAATAGCTATTGAGCAAGGAATGGGACCAGATGAACTGGAAGAACCATTAGTACCAGATGAGGATCTTTTAAGGTCAGTTGATGCTGAGCAAGAGCAAGAGGTTGGAGAAGAAGAAGAGGCTGATGAAGACTGAGTTGAGGAGAAACGGGGAAGTTTTCTATTTTTGTTTATTGTATTGTTAGCTTCCTTGTGTTTCTAGTTGATTTCCTAATTAGGTTAGTTTAGACACTGTTATGTTTAATATTGTTTATGTCAATGATATTTTTATTTATTTATTTATTTATTTTTTTAAAAAAAGGGCCTTTTGATTATAGTTATAACTGGTCTTCTTAAGAATTGTGTTGAGTGCTCAATGATTTGATTAAATTTTCTATGAACTTGAAGTATCATGAGCACAATGTTTTGAATGGATCATAATCTCATCCATTGAGCCTATTATTGCTTTGATCTAAGATGTGCATTTTCTTGGTGATGGACTGGATT